TTCCACCTCCGTGACCTTATCGAGCAGCGGGTGGTCCCCATCCCTGGTAATAAAACAAATAAATTAGTTAAATTAAATTTACAGAATTTCAAATCCACGTGGCATTTCTTTTTCATATATTCACTTTTCTCGTGATTTAAATTCGTAGCCGATGCTGACATGGACGAGCCGATCACTTCAAATCCCGGGCTCGAAGGAATCCTACGCCGGCGGGACCTCCCCAGCATATGCAGGCACGGAATTCCACCGCCGATCCTCAATTTCTTCCTCAGGGAAACCGAATCGATGAGGCGGGCTTCCGGTTTGATCCTCAACACGTTTGACGGGCTAGAAGGCCCAATGATCTTCAGGCTCTCCACCATCTTCCCCCAAATCTTCGCCGTAGGTCCATTGCACGGCCTGTTGAGCAACATTGTGAAAGAAGAGCCTCTAACCGCCTCAAACGGCGGGCTTAAGGAAGAGGACAGGAGCTGCATGACGTGGCTCGACTCCCAGCCGTCCAGATCTGTGATCTTCATCAGCTTCGGGAGCCTGGTCGCGTTGACCGAGGCCCAGTTTGTCGAGTTCTGGCACGGCCTTGTGGACAGCAGGAAGCCGTTTTTATGGGTCGTGAGATCCGACTCTGTGTTGGGGGAAGATGAGGTTCCGAGCTCCGTGAAAGTTCTTTCGGGCTTGAGAGGGGAGGCCCATGATGGGAGTAGGTGTTGTGTGGTGGATTGGGCCCCGCAGATTGAGGTCCTGGCCCATGAAGCGGTCGGTGGGTTTTTGACCCACAGTGGGTGGAACTCGACGTTGGAGAGCGTTCTGGCGGGAGTGCCGATGGTTTGTTGGCCGCGGTTGAGTGACCAACAGGTTAATAGTAGGGCTGTTAGTGATGTGTGGAGGATTGGGCTCGATATGAAGGACAAGTGGGACAGATCGACGGTGGAGAAGACGGTGAGGGAGTTGATGGAGGGGAGGAGGGACGAGATTATCAAATTGACTATTGAAATGGCGGGGATGGCTCGTAGCAGCGTCGAGGAAGGTGGATCTTCATACCATAATCTGGAAAAGTTGATCGTATACATTCGATCGATGTGTTACGACATCTAACAAGAAATCAGAATCAATATTTCTTCCCATAATCCATTGGCTCCCATTCCATTACCTCATCAAAAATGGTGTTTTGTTTGAGTGATTTCCATGGCTTGAGAGACATCATTGACAGCCAGCCAGTCTCACTCTAGATTGGCCTTTCCCACCCCTGCTGATGTTGTTCAACGACATAATTAGGAAGAATCTTTGAATGGAGAGTAGGATTTCTTATGGTGATCCAACAACATTTCTTCTACCATCTGCAGAACTAAACATTGTTTAAGAGCAAGCAAAACCAAATGAACTTGCCTAACAACCTACTTAACGACACAATTGCAGGGATTCACGATGACACCACAGCTAAACAGGAAAACTACCTAAGAAAAATGCACAATTTCAATCTAATGTGATATTTGGTGCTTAACTCTTAATTTGGCAATCATACTTACAATTCCCGTAGATACTACAGATATAAAGTTGTATCATAAGTACTTTTAAGATTATGAAAGGATGCTACGAAGTACCAACAGGTAGAATCTTATTCCTAGCTTCTCTATGAATCAATAACACAATCAGTGTGTAGGCATAACAAACAATATAACTAGAGTTGCAGTTCAAAAATCATAAATACAATCAGTGTGACTGGCAATCGTACTTCCATTCACATACTTACCGACTTCGTCGCATTAAAATTCAAGAGCTAATTTTCCTTCACAAATCATGTCCTCCAGCACACGACGGGTTTAACTGAATGGACAGGTGATTATCACTCTTTTCAACTATATGCACATATACACAAAGATGATATATAATTAGAACGAATCATAGTCGTGGAGAAAGCAAAAGATATCAACACAATTTACCTACGAAGTATAGTAAAATTTGAGTACTCTTGGAGGTACAGGAGTCCTTGAGTCACCCCTCAAACGATCCCAACTTCTTGTTACATTCCAAATCTAAGATCCTCAGCAGAATCTGGCCATTGAAGTTCATCAGCAAGGCATATTTCATAATGAAAAACTAAAAGTTGGAAACTTTTTAGCAACTCTTTGAAATACAGTTTAATAGAGACCGAATAAGCAGAAGTTCAAGCTCTGTTCAACATGAACTCGGACCAAGATGTTTTCTTCTCAGTGAAGAATCCCACCACAAAATGAGCAGATTCACATGTTGATGCCTCGCAGTGAGCGAAACCTCATTCCCGAACTCTACAATCCCTCGAGTCGATGGTTCTTAAAACCTATTCATTGTTATTTCCTCCCCTCCAGGGAACAAATCCCAAAAAACGGAAAAAGGTAACCGGAATCCTTGGAAACTCAAACATGATTCAGAGATACGGTAGAAATTTCTTTTACTGACCTACAATAGGGTTGAACCCGCCGTGTCCAAACACATTCTCGGTGAAGAAGTTGTTCGTGGAAGCTTCGATTTTGCAGATTGTAGATGGCTGCAGATTTGGAGGTTCTGCTGCTAAAGAGGGAAGGCAAGGAGGAGTGTAGGCTTCGACTGCGGTTGCGGCTGAAAATTCTACCCCTTTACTCCGGTTTTTACTCATCACCCTCCTCCCATCAAATCACCCTCCCCTACGACGACCAGACGATCGCAGTTCGCAGACGCTGGCCCTCCTTCCCGGTCCTTTCCCTCTCTCGATTTCTGGCCTCCATTGCCGACAGGGATTGGGAAGTAAATGACAATCATCGGTTGGAGAAAAGGGGAAGTAGAGATTTGAGTGGGACGCAGAGGGAAAGGAGAGCAAAGTCTTCTTCCGATTCTCTCCTGTTTAGTGGCCACACAAAATGAACGAAACCGGCAAACTGCTGCTGTCATTGGGTTTTCGTCGACCCAGTTATGGAGGAGCTGTCAAGTCTTCTCTTGTTCCAGGAAAGTAAGGTCAGTATTGTAGAAATTATGGCGGGTGGCGTGTAGAGCAGTTGTGATAGGATGGAGAAGAGACTAAACTGGTGAATTGTGATTGAGGATTTTGGGGGTAAGGCCATGAAGGAATGGAGGATACGAAAACTATGGGCATTGAAGAGACATGTAGCAGAGATGGGAACGGGCAAGGGAAAGCACTTTTGGGGTCGGATATGAAAGGTTGTTTTAGTCCCGGCTCATAAAACGACAAAAATTGAAACAATAACATACAACTTAGGCCAATAAAGCGTAGCCCGCTTTTATATGTAAAAGAATTTCCCCCACTTTCCTCCTTGGTTTACACTTTACAAACAAAAAAATGGTTCAGGCGTTCAACTATGTTCCCACTTCCCGTGCTCCCGGCACTTGCGGGTTGTACGGTAATTTGCAAGTCACGTTGATTTCAAATAATTGAGAAAGTGAAAAAGAAAACGACACGAGATTTACATGGTTTCTTCGTTCAATCGAACGAGACTAGTCCACAAAGAAGATGAACTTCTTAGATTACTCGATTTTACTTGCTGTTTACCGCAACTTTTTAGCTTACAAAGTATGGATTGATGACTATTTATATGTAACCCTTTTTCCCGGGCTAAGATCAGGTGACTAAGGGGGGGTCCCTTAGTCACATGACTAAGTCAATCCTAGCCTTTCAAGTTCATTAAAATCTAATGGCTCTAATTAATTCAATTTAATGAAGGGTAGTGTAGTAATTCCATGATTCATAATTATTTTATTATAAGAAATTAATAATCATAAAATCCAACAGTAGCGACCCCGACCGTCCAGCCCGTCTCCTCGCCGATCGAAATTTCCCGGCGGGCCGTCAGTCTTTCCGGTGCGTTCCAAGAGAGAGACAGCAATTGCCATTTATTTCTTGGTTCGTCCCCAGAGAGAGAGTTCATTCCATTGCCATTTATATTTTTGTGCGTCCCAAGAGAGAGACAGCCATGCCATTTATTTCTTGGTTCGTCCCCAGAGAGAGAGTTCATTCCATTGCCATTTATATTTTTGTTCGTCCCAGAGAGAGAGAGAGAGAGAGAGAGAGAGAGAGAGAGAGAGAGAGAGAGAGAGAGAGAGAGAGAGAGAGAGAGAGAGAGAGAGAGAGAGAGAGAGAGAGAGAGAGAGAGAGAGAGAGAGAGAAGAGAGAGAGAGAGAGGAGAGAGAGAGAGAGAGAGAGAGAGAGAGAGAGAGAGAGAGAGAGAGAGAGAGAGAGAGAGAGAGAGAGGAGAGAGAGAGAGAGAGAGAGAGAGAGAGAGAGAGAGAGAGAGAAGAGTTTTTTGGTCGGAAATTTTTTCCCGCGAACATCGTCGCCGGAGAAGAATTTCCCGCGACAG